ACGTGTCACGTGACGACGCGAGCGAACGGCGGCGGCTGCTGCGCCGCGGCAAACAAAAACAAACAGTGGGGACGCACGTTCTAACCTAACCTATTCTAATAATATAATTGGTAATAATTATGATAATTTATTAGAATAGGTTAGGTTAGAGCGTGCGTCCCCACTGTTTGCTTTCTTGTCTTTGCTGGAATCAGCGCCGGCGCCATGACAGCCGCCGGCGTTCGCTCGCGTCGTCACGTGACACGTCGTCTCCAAAGCGGTCCGGTTTCGAGACTAAAACAGGAAGAGCCGCCATGATGGTCTACGACCCTGGACATTAACCGTTGTATTAATAATAATAATAATAATCTCTTAGTTGTTCCTCCTGATGATAAGTATGATAATTTTTTCATAGACATACTGAAGATTTTGGACGTATATATATAATGTTATTTTACGTGCATAGTTTAATGCTACAATAGGACAACCCAGAGCATCTCTCATACTGTGTATCTAATAATTACGAGCTTACAAGAAACTCTAAAGATAAAATTTCTAATTATGGTGGAAAATTGTTATAATTTTTGTATGGATAATGAATTTATCTGTTTAAATGCATTCTCATCAAAGAGATCTGTTTAAAGGAACAGATTAGGAAGGAAAGGAGAAAATTATATGCAGTTTTTGTCCACTTTAAAGCCGCATTTGACAACATAAATCATTTTAATTTGTGGGCTGTGCTTGGAAAAATAATGATTAGCAAATATTTTTTGAATTTGAAAATGGATATTTACAGAAAGGCCACTGCAAGGTTAAAAAGTATGAATGGATACAGTGTCGTTTGATGTATAGACTAGTGTATTGCAAGGCGAAATTTATATCTTATGTTGTTTCTTTATATGTTAATGAACTTGTGGATTTTGTCAAACTGTCTGGTCTTTTGGGTTTGTCTCTTTCTAATGATAGAACTATATTGATGTGTGCTGACGATACAGTTATTACAGCATATACTCCAAATTAGCTACAGAAAAAAGTATATATATCTTAGCAGAATTTTGTGAAGATTATGATTCATGTGAAGACTATGTGGCCTTTATTAACAAAACTAAAAGTCTCTAATGTTGATACTTATATGAATTTATTTCATTCGTTAATATATTGTGTTGTCTTATGGATCTCCTATCTAAGCGATGAATCACTTCCAAGAACGAGCAATAATTTATTGTGACATGGTCACAATGCCAGGCTGCAATTTTTAGTCATATTTTTAATTTATTTCATTTAAAGTATATGCTCTCCATTTCAAATTAATAGTGGCTTGCCCCCGTACATCATACTTTTCCGTTAGCAATAGAGTATTCCCGGTCATCTATTAACTGCTTTCAGGGGGAAATATTTGAATTGAAAAAACGTTACTTCCGGTTTGCAATAAAAGTTCGTATATAGTCAATCGGGGTCTTATGTTACTAAGGTTTCCATATCTAGTTTCGGATTTCATCTAACTCCGTTCTCGAAAGTAAGGAAAGACGGATGAATGGAGGACAGTGGGATTTATAGGTCTACAAATTTTTTCAAATTGCAGCCCAATTAGAAGCAATTCTTTGTATATTTTTTTTTTTTGCCTGATTTATAAACTTTCCAGAATAATTCCAGGTTATATGATACGATTAGAAATTGGATGATGTAGAATTTCAGTTTTGTTTATTAATCAAAGTTCTATAGTATTATTTAATAAGAAAATCTTAATAATAATTGTAGAGAAAAATATATATATGTAAATTTTTACTATGGGAAGATATTATTGCTATAACTTCTGCCTATGATGGTGTATGTCGAAAAATTGTATCGTTTCTTTCTGTAAGTTTTAAATGAAGAATACCGGGACATCTGGAAATTCTAGTAAAGTGCCTACTTTTGAAGGGACAATTAAAATTTTAATTTTAATGAAAAAAGTCTGCTTCGGAAACGTTTTTGTTATTTTTATGGTTTATTATGCTACTTATTGTGTTAACAGTTTGTGTTTGTGTAGTTTATCCTTCTTTAAACAGTTCTCTGCTATTCTGTATTTATATTATCCCATATATTTGTTAACCGATAATAAAACTGTAATTTGAGATCTTATTATCACAAGAATCATTGGATAATGTATATTGTATAATGTAGATTATCTCTATGTATAGACATAAACACCTTTGCTCTATACAAATTAATTAACTTATATTAGGAATGAACAGAACAACAGTTGTTCTGGCCATTCTGTTCATTTGTTAAAAAATTACTGATATTTATCCTATTGCTATTATTTATCCTAAAATTACTGATATTTATCCTATGATTCTCATCGTTATAAAACATAATCTAGGAGCAATAGGTAATTGACCCGAATCTTGTGTAGTAGTGTGTTATCACAATTGAATTTTTTTCAATTAATAAAATTGAGATATTAAATATAATCTGTTATTGAATGAAGTGATTTCAAGTGCTCCTGAAATCACCGAATTCTTTAAACCGTATCAAACAATTTATTGTTTATCGAACTTGATATCTGTTTTACAATTATTCTATGTTATGGATCGGAGTTCGGATGCCATTAAAATGACATTTATAAGTAATTTATATGTCGTTAAACAAAGAGGAAAGCACGATTTGAATATTTCTCATCAGAATGTGAACTATTTTCCCAGATTTCATCTATAAAAATACTTTATATTCACTTGGTTTTTCTGTCTTATTTCTATTTTCTTTTTGAATTGACTTTCTTAGATTTTTTTTAAAATTAATAGTTTGCTTGTTGATGAAGTACAGGAATTTATATTTTCGTCCAATATCAACTTTAATATACTGTAATTGTACATAAACCAAGCCAAGCAATGTAGTAATTTAATTAATTTTCTAATTATTAACTTTAAAACAAGATGGCGTAACTGCTTACCTTTAGAGCAAATTATGTATTATATTTATGATCAATTAGCATTATTATCCAATCCAAATTACGCTTTATTTGTAATACGGCAATTGCCTGTTACAATGGGAGAACCATAAACTTAAATAATATAACATATTACATANATTGTACATAAACCAAGCCAAGCAATGTAGTAATTTAATTAATTTTCTAATTATTAACTTTAAAACAAGATGGCGTAACTGCTTACCTTTAGAGCAAATTATGTATTATATTTATGATCAATTAGCATTATTATAGCCCAATTAAAATCCGACGGTATTATTTGTTTTTAACATTAATATATTTTTATTATATTAGTAATATTATGTACAATATAAATTTAGTTGTTTTTTTAAATTTAAAGTTTCCTTTCAGTGATGTCACCTTTGGCTACTTTGGGACAACTTTGCTACTTTTCTTTTTTGTTGGCAGAAAAACGAGTCGGTGCTTTGGCTCTTTCGTTGTCATTAATTAAAATTAGAAGCAGTGCTTTTTTCACTAATAAAATAAATAATAAAAAATAAATAAATAAAATTTAATTTTTATTATTTTTGACTGCTATTTTTCTTTTTCCAGCTAGCACTACGCCATGTTAGCTATTATCCATGATGGCGGCTTAACCATCTACTTTTTAAAGCAAATTGAAATCTTTTCAATTCAATTCTCCCAATAGATGGACCCTCATATTCATTAAAAGGGACAACTTTTTAACGTGACTCCACAGTGATGATGCCTTCATGCAGTATTTGCAGTGGTCATGCAGTTTTTGCACTGGTCAGTGGTGCAGATGTTGCGGGTATAAAGAAAGTGGTTCGTAAGCAAAGAGTTAGTTCTTGCGCGGTTGATGAGGACGTTGATGCGGCAGTCAATGATGTCAGGAATAGAAATATCTGATGTGTTAGAAAACCAAGGGTAGAGAGTTTTTGGGGTAGGTGTTCCATCTGTTGTTCATATGTTTCTCGTTGTCGGACTTGATGAGAGAGTTGGTCTTCGGCGGTTATGTAGTGGATGATGACAGAGTTGAGGGGGTGGTTTTGGCGAGTTTGTCCGCTTGTTCGTTGATGGGAATGCTTCTATGAGCCGGGGTCCATATAAGCTTGGTCTGAAGGTTGAGGATATACTTTTGGTTGAGGATGGTATTGATGGTTTGGATTAAGGTAGGGAACTTATCATGTTGAGCGTGGAGAGCCTTAAGAACCGATTTCGAGTCTGTACAAATGATGGCATCTGCCTTATTGTGATGGATCCTTCCGCAGTGAAAATCGTGGAGAGAGAAGTGAGCCGTGATGTTGATTTTTGTGTCAACAAAAGCCGCTGTCACGGTGTTGGAGGTTTTCAACCCACAGTGGCAACAATGGTGTTGATATTTTGCTGGGCCTCCCATTCCTTAAAGGACTGTTGGATGAAAGTGTCCGGGAGATTGGAATTTTGGAAGGCAAGGTAAGGTCGTCGAAATGGATGTTGTGGTTGGAGGCGTTGGTGATGCTGGACGACGTTAACAGATCCTTCTATTCTAGTAGCCTGGAACACCCCGTAGTGGACGTTATATCAGCAGCGGTGCCATTCCGTGGTATAAATAATAAATTCCTATTACAAATAAAATAATAATATACTGAATTTCTCATGGCCTACCCTACTAAAACGCAGCCAAAAATGCAAAAAACCGCATCAAATAATTATATACTGAATTTATTGTTAATTTAAATAATAGCTAGGGGCACCCCTAGTGGCCATTTTTGGCATACAGTGACAAAGAATGAATCAGGTTTTTCGGCTTTATATAGTTAGATAATTTAATTATTATATTTAACGAGAGATGGCAGCCTGTCTCATGCCAAATTGCTTAGTAATTATTTAGCCTTATAGCCCGATAATAACACAACTATCTGTTTGGTATTTGAAATAATGGTTAATAATAATAATAAATCCAATAAAAAGTAATTTATTTTGCAGCTTTGTATTACTGTTTAGCGTTTAAACATTTATTGCTTTTAAAAAACGTTTTCCCCCTAATAGAACAATTAAAATTTTAAATTGAAAAACTATTCGATCATTGTTAAATTTTATTCTTCAGGAACTGCGTGAATGAAAGAAAATTGGTTGTTCAATTGATTTTTGATCATCATCAATAAAAAAATGGTAAAGATTTTAAACAAATTACAAATTTTATTAACGTTGATCTTTACTTTCATCGTTTTAGTCACAGGAAAGTGTAGATGCTGTGGGAGAGGAAGAACTTTTCAATGGAACTTCCTCGGATCCATCCGGAAATGACGACCATGTGGACAAACTAATAAAGGCAAAACTCGAATTTCAAAAACAAACTCCATAAAATAAAACTTCATATCCAATATCTATCGTCATCAATTTCAGAAATTGAAAAAATGGTGGAAGGATACAGAAGAGTATTCCTCGAAGATTCGGGAATTTTCAAACCAAATTCGGTGGCAAAATTCGGAGAAGTAATTTATAAGTTTTAATTCTTATTAACAAATAACTAATAAACATAATATTTTCAATATATGCAGGGAAAATTGTACACTGGAAATGTTCAACTCGAAGGCTGCGACGAGTACGATAAACAAAATGGTGGGATCTCGCGAAGAGATGCTGTCCATTTGCCACGAGTTAAAATTCGAGTTTGAAAGTTTAAAAAATGGTGGAAGTGATAAATATTTACGTTTATTAAAGTATACAAATAATTTGACAATGTTATAAGTTATAATTTTTAATTTAGAAAGAGATCGTCTCCGTTTACAGCTTGAAGAAGTTAAGAAATCGAAAGAAGAATCGGAAAAGGAAACCATTGTTCTTCGACAAGTAACAATATGTTAATTGTAGAAAATTAAAATTTCTAAAATAATTCAGAATGATTAATTAGAAACGTAACGTACGTGACAACAGAATTATTTTTATTTACACGTTTTATTGTAGCAATTAGATATAAAAGAGGAGAAATTAATGGTAGAAGGTAGACTGAATAAAGAAATTAACGATCGAGTAGACAAACGATTGGAAAGTGATAAATTAGAGGAAAAATTAATGAAGATAAAAGAAGAAAACGAGTGTTTAAAAGAACAAGTAGAAACAATGAAAAAAGTTTTGGATAAACAGACATCTGATGTGTTGCTACTGCAAGAAGAATTAGAAGAAAGTGTACTTCAGACCAGCAAATATTCTTCGAAACACGTAAATAGTTAGAAATCTCATTATTATTTTTTAAATTGTACTCGAGCTTATAATTTATTTTGTATTAAAAAACTGATGATTTTATTTTCTACTGATACTTCTAATCAGTGTATGGTTTTTTCCTGTATTCTCGACTAACATTTCCCCTTGGTAGTAATCGTTTGGTGCCATAAAACGAAATTAACTGCGAGTCCCGAAGGGGTTTCACGAAAACTTGTTTCAAAGATTGGGAAAAAACGTTGGCCTAAGTTCATTGCAGCGGGAGGAGTTTCTTTGAAAGGGACGAAATAAATGTTGATGAATAAATTAAGATCTTGCATTTTATTGAACCACTCCCCATACTTTTTTGATCACAGGAGTATTTTTTTCAGTTGTTTCAAGGATGTATTGTACCAGCTTCCCGCAATACAATGATTCCTATATCCAACGGTTGTTTCGTAAGCGTGGTATTAGTCGGAAGAAACTTCAGATAAGTGTTTCTCAAATATTATACATGACGATGAGCAGTAGAATTAGAATAGAATAACTGTTCTCGACTTTTTGTGTAGTTCTGCATTCCAATCCATAAGCCATTTCAAGAAAATATTGGAAATCATCCGTTCATTCTTGTTGGCATAATATCCACTGGTAAATAGTCAAATCTAAGACCTTTAAGCAGTGGCGTAGTGACATAACTTGCGCCCAGCGCACGACACTTTATTGGCGCCCGGGGTATGATAGACTCCCTTGTTCAGTGGGGTAGCGAACATAACTTGAGCCCGGGGCACGACGCTATTGGCTCCCCCTCCAGAAACACACATAGTTTGTCTTGGAGACCCGGTGCATGATACACCCCCTTCGCTACGCTAGTGCCTTTAAGGCACATAATCCTCCAATGACTAATCATTGCAGCACAATGGACTAATGCGATCCAGTGCTTTTTTCTACACGTTTACAACTCGGAACTATGTGGCTGTTTTACCGCGCCACCCTAAGTTGTAAACGTGAAGAACTATCAAGAGTGGAAGAAAAAGCAATGGACCGCATTAGCCCATTGTGCTGCTTTTTCATGTGTTGTAATTTGATCGGGACTAAATTTCTGCAGCAATTTCTACAGCGATTCGTGATTTCTGATCTTTGGCGCTCCTAATGTCAGCATTTTTTTTTTCACCGCATGCTCTGAAATATTTCGTGTCTAGTTTTTTTTAACTCTTTCCGCCCTGTGGGCACTAAGAGGGCCTATTTTTGCAAGCCCATTATGGGTTCTGTCAGGCCCACAATGGGATAGCCAGGTGATAAGGGATGGTCCTGATATATCCGAATGGACCACCCCCGAAAAATTCCTGGGGATTATTTGACCTGTCCGGATTCAATCCCAGGTCCCCCAGAGCAGTAGACCTTGACTGCTCAGCCATCTGGTCGCTTGTGTCTAGTTTTCCAATGCAACAACCACCCTTCTGTAGCTTTGAAATTCGTGTGATCCATCTGTGTAGCTAAATCTTAAACTTAATCAGCAGTGCTTTCAGAAAGGGCATAGCCATCTCATAGCTCATTTGTCAGTAATAGTCCTGTAAAACAACTTTATAAATTCTGTGTAAAGAACATATACAGCCAATTTTTCTTCAAAGTTTTAATAAATTTGTATTTATTTGAAACAACAAGAATCCTGTCCATCAAGAATTGGACTATGTTATATTTTTTATTGGATGCTGTCACTTGTAAGAGACCAGATTCAAATCTGATCCTGATTCTCAAAATATAGAAAGATTGAAGTTTCATTTTTAATCTCTCATCCGTGGTTAGTAAGGCTTTGCATTATTGCAGTTCTATTGTATTTTTGGAAAAATATAGAGGGATAATCTTTCAGAACAGATTTACGTTTGTTACACTAGAGCAGGCATGGCCAATATACGACCCATCTAACGAATTTATGCGGCCCGCAATTAATCTTTCAATATTAGCTACTCAAGTCCAAATAGCTTGACGAAAAATTTTGATGCCTAAAAAGAAAAAAAAAAGGTCAACAACTCACCATGCATTTAGAGTTAATGCTACATTACAAATCTCTTAAGTACAGCATAGAATGTTGAAATTCATGATAATGTGAAAAATGTATCTGTAATCTCTATGTACAATTTAGTCTCTACGGGGTGACATCACAATGAGATCTAGATCTTGCACTGCCTCAAAATCTTCCTAGGGCAGTCTCTGGTTCGGCCCGTGGAAAAAGTTTTCTTTCCAATTCGGCCCAGGGCAAAAACTATTGGCCACCCCTGCACTAGTTTTCTTGAAGGAAATTGGTATTGCATTGTTTTATCAAATAAATCATGTATACAGTTTTGAAAGCTTATTAATTGATTGTAATACTTTCATATTTTGGATCCTAGATGGAAGATGACAAAAGAGCATTAGTTAGGAAATTGAAAGTGTTATCAACAGAAAAAGAGATGCTTTTGGTTTTATTGAAGGGGCGAGCACAAAAAATTAACAAAACAGAAGAAAGGTTTCAAGAAAAATTGAGAGAAACAGAAAAACTGAAAGAACAAATAGCTGACTTAGAGAACAAGTCAATAAATATAAATAGAATTTATAGAGAAACAATGGAAATGAGTAAGAAAATTCAAAGTGAAAATTTATATTATAACAATATAGCAAAAGAAATTGGTAATGCTGCTTTAATAGGATATCAGGTATTATGTAAAATTTTAATGAAATATTCTACATTTATGAATCTTGACATAAATATCATTGCTCTAGGATGCAGATAGAATGAATTTAACAAAACAAATACAAACCTTGAAACAAAAATTGATGAAAAAATCAGAACAATTGGTGGAAAGTCAAGAGAAACTGAAAGACAAAGAAAGACAAATGGAGGATATAAAAAATAACATGAATCAAAAAGTATATATTTAACATAATTTATCATATATTTTTTAATAATAGTTATTAAAAATTTCACTTTTCAGGAATACTTTCCTATCAGTTCTTGTAAAATTTCTCTTCCCAGTATAAAGCCTTTAAATTTGCAAGGAAGAACAAATTACATGAAGAGAATACATATGTAATTTTTTTTAATTAAAAACTTTATTGTGGATTAGAAAAAGGTATTATTATTGTTAAAATTTATTTTAAATGCAGTATGTAGATCTGGACAAATATCTTGTTTAGTTTTGGATTTAGTTCTTTAGTCATAATTAAAATACAATTGTTTAGCACAAGAAATATATTTTATTAAAATGTAAATTATTTTTTTACACTTTTTTTAATAGGAGCTGTGCTTAGGTGAAATTGAAGAAACATTCACAAAATTATATATTTTTAAATATCACTTTTATGATAAATAAGATCACAATATATCACTCAAAAACAATTTAATTATAATTGCACGCAAGTGCTACCAATATTTAAAAATAAAAAGTGAGGATTCTGAAAACTTTGAGATTTTTTTTCAAACGTTTGTGTGACATGCATCAAAATTCTAAACACATCAGAGACCAATCTCTTATTCTGAACTGCCGACAGAATGTCTGAAACCCGTAGTGAAAGCAAATGCAGCAATTTGAGGAAAATACTAAATATATTATGACAGTATCACTTAAAAATCACAGACACATGCATGACGCAATTAATTTGACTACTACATAAAATAAAACAAATACAAATGCCCTTCCAAAGGGATGTAAATATTAAAAGAAAGAACAGGGTTTATTCTCCAAAGCTAGAGATGTGCCAATGCACGTGGAATGTATCTAGCACACAAAATAAAACTGACTACGTCCTCTGTGGAGGAAAGATTCCCGTTTCAATAAATGTACAATCAACAATCGGAACTAAACTATCACTAAACAAACATGGTAATAAAATAGTTCTTTTTCTTTTCTCCAGGAATATAATGGAAATACTTTTTTAAAAATTTTACAACTTTGAATAAGATCTGTCATATAACAATGTGTTTAATTATATTACAATGAACAGGATGATGGTGACATGAACTAAACTGAAACGCGCAAGGTTATCTACATTCCAACTCTTCCGACTCGATGCCTACCACAATTTGGGAACTTGGCATGATGTGGAAGACAAAAAACAACTGCCTAAAAAAATAATATGCACGTATACAATTGTCTAAAAGAAATCAGATCAATAAACAAAATTATGTACATATACACAGTAGGATAAGCCTACCGGGAGTGTGAAAACGAAAGTATCACAGGAAACTTTTACATCCAGTTTCGTGTACCAAAAACTGGAATTTATATACTGTTGTGTGTATGTATAAATTATTACATTGGCAAGCTTCGTTTAATTTTAGCTGGCAACTCTTAAATTATCAATTAGAGATAGCCAAAGATCAAATTTGATATTTTTTTGGGGGGCATGATTTAAAAAATAGTTTTCTGTATATTAATAATAAATACTTTTCTGTAATCTAACATTGTAAAAATAGGTAGTAGCCTGATAAATGTGCTAGGAACAGTTCTGTAAAATATAGGAAGTGAAACTTTGATTTGGGAGATGATGTTTCAACTGTGAAATGCATTATTTAATAAATATAAATTTCACTAAATGCCTCAACTGAATTATAAAATAAAAAAGATCATGTTGAATTGGGTTAATGGCATTTGGATATTCACATGTCCAAGATATTTAGGTCCTGAGTGAATGTATGAATATGAAACAAAACAACTTGGCAAGTCACTTATTCACACTAGCTCGGGTGGTATGTTGGGATTTGGTCTTCGGATGAACAGCTCGATATCTCCTGCTTGCTGTGTAATTTTGTTGTTTCCTTGGCCACCTAAATTTTATATATAATTAAACAAATATACTTTTAATTTATCAGAAAATTTAATATATATATATATTTACTTTTCTTCTTCTTATTTAATGTAACTCCATTCTTGAAGATGCATTGAAAAGTTGTTTGTGGTAGTTCTTCACTGACATCTGCTTGCATTTTAGCAAAACTGATGAAAACCTTTTAACAAAAAGTTAATATTAAAATTAATAATTTATTCAAGTTAAGTAAAATGTATTAAATATTTAACTAACCTGATCTAGAGTTGTTTGTGAAATTGAATAATCCTCTATTTCAAGTAGCCTAGTGGCATTTTTTAATTCTTTAAATACATGAGAAAGAGAGAGAGTTGGTGCTAGCTGATATTCCATTTGATTCAGATGTTGCTCTTGAAGAACTGCCATTGATCCAAATGTTTTTTCAATATAAGATGCAACTTCTCTCATATTAGAAAGTTCACCTCCTACTCTTAATGTTAGTGTATATCCTGCACCATATCTGAAAAAGTTAATGTTAAATTTCTAGAACTTATAGATTTTTACAATTAAATACTAATATACAGAGCTGTATATAAGTGCTAGATTGTCAAAATTTTTCATTAATATATTTCACTCACTCAACCATAGCAAATGTAATCTGAAATGTATTTCTAAACCAGACAAAAGTTTTCTTTATGCTACAGTTTAATGAGACTTGAAGAATAATCCCTTTGCAATGATATTCTACTATAAGAACAGAATTCATGTTTGCAGTTTGAATTGATAATTTGGAAACAAACTATCTTGTCTCAGATGAGATAGATTCATATCTATCAATGGCCATTTTATATTCTGAAAGTCATTGATGATAACTATTAAATACCTAGTCACATCCCAATCACACATATGGGAATTATGCTGAAAAATGTATAACTTAGATTAAGATAGCTGTAAGTCAGAACAACCTGAAATAGGTTTTCATATTCATAAGGATCAGAGCTTAAAAAAAACTAAGATAGGTTATCAAAAATTGTACTTTTGTGATGAAATTGCATTTCATTTAAATGACAAAGTGAATCAATCAGAATATCACTTGCAAATAAGGAAATGAAATGAGCAATTGAAATTATTCTATTTGTGGATTTGTCACTTACATACTTAATTTGTGAATCTTTCTTTTTCTTCAAACTATAACTATTTTTGATATTTCTTATTTAACATGCTAATTAAAAGTACTTTCTCTTAAAGACAGCCACATATTATTTAAGTTAACTGTAATACCCGTTCGCACTGAGCATTTCAATCTAGATTGTGACCAAGGTCGGTGACTATGCTTGGTGCGACCTCTCTCGACCATTTCAATCATGATTGACTCAAGAGAGCTCCCACAATCCCATGTGTGCAAGAAAATACAAGATGGCTGCTGAACACACGTTGGGATATTGACAGAAATAAAAAAGATACAGTATTTGGAGAGACAATGACATCTATCTATTATCAAATATATAATCGAGACGGGTTGATGATAATAATAATAATAAGCGCAGAGCCCAAACGGTTAGGAGTTGAAAGTTGAAATTTGGTACACAGATAGGGTACGTCATGAAAACGCACACTAAGAAGGGATTTTTCGAAATTCCCCCCGGGGGAGAGAGAGACAGGATTAAAACTTCTATATACATTATGGATACGAGCCCAAACGGTTAGGAGTTGAAAGTTGAAATTTGGTACACAGTTAGGGTA